GAATTAGGGACAATCTCGCGAAAACCCCCGAGGACCTCCTCATGAATTAGGGACAATCTCGCGAACCCACATACTCAGCTAGTGCATAAGGTAATGACATTTTCAAATAAAATATTATTTTCATTTGGTCGAATATATAATCATTTCCTTTTTAAACTAGAGTATGAAACTTGATCCTTACCTTTGCGTACTTCTAAAGTTGAACGATTCAACAGTTAGGATCCGTTTATTTAAATTACATTGAAAGTTATGAGAAAAAAGGACGAGTCGGCGTGGGTTTTGAAGGTAGAAACGTGTCGATAGCTTGAGGACAACAAGTCAAGATGGATTTCTGTGGTTATTGCTCTGTATATACTGTATATACATTTCCAATTTCGCAAGGTCTGTTTTCACTTCTCTTGGACTTAAGTAAAATGATAACGATTTATAATCCTGATGAATTTTTTTTAAAAAACATCGACTTTGCATGTTCAGTTGAAACGTGTGGAATGTTCGTTACATAAAAGTTTTAGAGAACATCCACTTAGCATGTTCAGTTGAAACATGTGAAATGTTCGTTACATAAAGGTTTTACAGAACATCGACTTAGCATGTTCAGTTGAAACGTGTGGAATGTTCGTTACATAAAAGTTTTAGAGAACATTCACTTAGCTTGTTCAGTTGAAACATGTGGAATGTTTGTTACATAAATGTTTTACAGAACATCGACTTAGCATGTTCAGTTGAAACGTGTGGAATGTTCGTTACTTAAATGTTTTACAGAACATCGACTTAGCATGTTCAGTTGAAACGTGTGGAATGTTCGTTACATAAAATACTTTTCGTCATGCTTAGAAACTGTTGTTTGCCAATTTGCCCTCCCCCCTCGGTGGCTCAACGGTATGTCTGCAGGATTAAGACGCTAAAAACCTGTTTTCGATACCTGTGGTGGGCAGAGCAAAGATAGTTCATTGTGTAACTTCGTGTTTAACAATAATCAAACAAAACAAAGTTTTTTTCTTTATACATTACTACAATGTGCTTCCGTACACAAGTTTTTCTAGCATTTAGTAATGTCAATCAGATTTTGACCTATTTTACGTAAAATATTTTACAAATATAAAATTAATATTGTCTCATCTAACTGGTGTGTTTTAAACTATTACATCTATTGAGAGAAACTTTCCACGTTTTTTTTTTCGTTTTTTTTTTTGCTTCCTTAGGTTTGTTTGTTTTGCTTTGAAGTTAAACACAAAGCTACACAATGGCTGCTGGTTATATGTACTATGCACACCATGGGTATCGAAACCTAGTTTCTAGCGTTTGAAGTCCACAGACACACTGCTGTGCAACTGGGGGGGGGGGCAGAAGGCTTGTTTGTTTGTTTATAATTATGCACAAAGCTACACAATGGGCTATCTGTGCTCTGCCCACCACGGGTATCGCATCCCGGTTTCTAGCGTTGTAAGTCCGCAGACATACCGCTGTGCCACTGGGGGGCGCTTCCTTAGGCCTTAAAAGGAACGTATTATTATATAAATTGCTGTATTTCAACTTTAATCAAGGTTTTTATTTTCAACGTCTTAATAAATAGCCAGATGTCGGAGAGCAGTGTTTAGTTGATATTAATCATCACATGAAAATATTTAAAACATTAACTTATACTTCTAAATCTATACATAGAAAAATCACATGACCAATGTGAGCCACGCCTTTTAACTTCGTTTTCGATAACTTTACAATATTGATTTGCTTTTCTGACAACCAAAGCCTGTCGTGTGACGAATTCAGTATCTCGTCTGTCATTTCCTTCTTGATATGTAAGTCTCAAAATGGAGAGGGAAGACAAATGATAATGTTTTTCTTAGAAAGTTGACATTTAGGAAAATCAATTTTCGGGTTTGTTCTCGAGTCTCACTCAAGATATTCGAAGACTAGGTTTATTAAACTCTGGTAATGCTAATAAAACCACATATAAATGGTTATATATTGAATCCACTTGCCCTTTGGTGAACTAGATTTCGTCAGAGACACATTGAAAATAATAAGTTTTATTCCGAAGATCTGTGACATCATAAAAGTTCTTTCAACACCATATTGTAGTAACTGACACAAAGCAGCTTTCTATTTAAAGAATATGAGATTGGTAGTTTGTGACAACTAATGAACGCTGTCCGGAACAGATGGCGCTTTTAGTAGCCGGAATAGAATATTGAGAATGACAGAAAATATTCTGAACCATTTGTATTTGTTTTGTTTGAATTTACGCACAAAGCCACACAATGGGTTATCTATGCTCTGCCCATCACGGGTATCGAAACCCGGTTTCTGGCGTTGTAACTCCGCAGACATACCGCTGTGCTACTGGGGGGGGGGGCTATTCTGAACCACCTCCTGTGACTGTTTTTTTTTTTAAAAAGACCTTCTACTGTATGTTCGTCCTTTCATGAATTAAACCCATGACTTGAACAGAAAATCTGGATAAACCTAGTTGCCCAATAAGAAGGTTTTCTTGATGATTATCCTCTCGAAACATTTTCTAAAAAAAAAACTTGTTTCACTTCTGTTTTTGTAGAGAAAGGTTTGTATATATTTTGCTTTCTTTTCTTTAGAACCGTGATATTTTAATAATTAACGTAGGACCAAGAGTAAGTGTAATTTCATTTCCTGTTTTAAACATGATAACTTATTTCAAGCAGTAACGTAGGGCCAAGAGTAAGTGTAATTTCATTTCCTGTTTTAAACATGATAACTT